TACCTTAACCTCCGGAAACCTGCATCTTCACAGGACTTACATCTGGAAAAAGGTAAACCTTTTAAAGTCCTCCTCTCGGCTGTAGCAGGGAGGGAAAGGGCCGTCAAAACAAGAAGCCACAAAACAGCACCTATACCCTATAAACCCTAAACCTCAAACTCCTAAACCCTATAAACCTCAAAGCCATAAAGCAGCACCTATACCCTATAAATCTTAAACCCTAAACCCTAAACCTCAAACTCCTAAACCCTATAAACCTCAAAGCCATAAAGCACCGCCTACACCCTATAAATCTTAAACCCTAAACCCTAAACCTCAAACTCGTAAACCCTATAAACCTCAAAGCCATAAAGCAGCGCCTACTATACCCTATAAATCTTAAACCCTAAACCCTAAACCTCAAACTCGTAAACCCTATAAACCTCAAAGCCATAAAGCAGCGCCTATACCCTATAAATCTTAAACCCTAAACCCTAAACCTAAAACTCCTAAACCCTATAACCTCAAAGCCATAAAACAACAGTGAAGCCAGTCGCCTGAGGTCTGGTCAAGGAAGGCGGAAGGGCGCTTTCCTGAGGCCAAGGACTGCACCGGGAGGGCTCCCACTCAAGGTTTCGGATGTTTGAAGGGTGTTGTTTAGGGTTTAAGTTTAGGGCTTTGGGTTTAGGGTTTCGAAGCAGTTTTTGTTTGTGCGGCTGTCGAGCATTGGCTTTCTGTTCTTTTGAAGTGCTCCGGGATTTCAGGGCGGTAGTGCTCTTGACTTTCTTTCATATTCGGGCTTGTGGATTGTGAGGGTTGCAGCGGTTTTGGCCTTCGGAAGGACGTATAGTGCGGGAAATGGTTTACGATGCAGAACTGCATGGTGCCGTATCTGCAGCGCAAAATGTGGTGCTGCTGAGCTTCTGTATTGTCATGCTCATGGTCATGATGGTGGGATGGTGTAAAATTCTTTAGATTGACCAGCCTGCTCTATGTCGGTCTCTTATTTGAGGCACATTATACGGGTTGACATACACACCTGGCTGGAACAGTAGTTGAAACGGAGTCACAGATGCACGCTAGACCTTGCATACCACAGCATTGACTCAATAACTAGATTGTCGATTTTGTTGCAACCCATATGAACTGTCATGGTCGTAAACTTCACCAAAGACTAGTCAATCCTTGCAGCCGGGCCAAACAAGTGAAGATGTGCAAGAACCGAGTTAGGGTCCAAGTTTCGGGTCGGTTTAACATTCAGCGTCCGCACGCGTACTATGAGAGTTCTGAAGGGTACTACGTCAAGAAGAAGAAATACTTGGCCCTGAAGGAGCTCAAACAGCGCGTGAGAGATGTCTTGGAAGCTCGTCTGTGGTCTAGGATTTGGGGGTTTCCGAAAATGGGGGACCCCAATATAATACCCTAAATAGTAGGATCCTAATTATGAGGGCCCCAAAATAAGGTACCCCTCATTTTCTCAAACTCCCATTTAGAGGTAACTCGAGCTGTCGGCCTTCCGTTGGTTGGTTAAGTCAGGCTTTTGCTTGCTGTGCTTACGGCGTCGTTGGTCTTCGTTTCCAGTCCAAGGGTAAAATTAAAAGGAGGGACCCTTAATAAGGACCCCTAGGTGTATTCCCCCTAGTATAGCTGATATGTACCCATCATATATAGCCCATTATAGGGTCGCGGAGAAGGCCGAAACCCGCCGGCCATAAGCCCTACAGCTGCCCTGAGGCCATGAACCCCCAATGACTAGAAATGCGAAAGCATTGCGCCCATTCCTTGTTCAGGGTGCAGGACGGTTTAGGGTTTAGGGCTTAATTACAGAGTCATAAGCACACGTAGCAGAAGTTGGTATACACATTCGTGAGTATATCACGCACATTCAGTAGATGGTTGTTCTGGGCTCTTGTCAGCCACGCGGAAGACATTTCTGCCACTTCCCAAACCCCTAGAACCCTGAACGTCCTAAACCTTAACATAACGAATCTCCGATGTGCTACTAAGCCGAATGTTCAACGATCCGGGTAACACAAAGCGGCTTAGGGTTTTGGGTTTTGGGCTTATGACTTTGTGTTTTGGGGTTTAGGGCTATAGGAGTTGGGGTTGAGGACCCTAAACCCTAAACCCTAAACCCTAAACCCGTTTTGAGTTTAGGGCTTAAAGGGGTTAGGGTCGAGGCAGGTGCAGGGTTTAGGGCTTAAGGGCTTCCTGGGTTCTTGTTAAGGAGCTTAATTTAAGTTACCACAATAGGGATCTATCGTAAATAATAGGGTTTCCTTATTACGGTAACTTAAAGTAAGTTCCTTAACAAGAACCCAGCTTCGGGTTTAGGGCTTGGCGTTGGGTTTAGTGGAAAAAGCCCTAAAGGCCCTCAAGCCTGAATTGACGCCTTTTGGACTACCGCATTACCCAAAGGCCCCAAAGTAGTTCCTGGTAATCCCAAAAAGGAACTACTTTGGGGTTTTTGGGTAGTTTGCAACAGTCAACCCTGCCCCAACACCCTCGACCACAGACTTAGACCCCGAACCTGCATGCACAAGTCCTGAACCCTAAAGCCAAAATGCCCTAGACCCTGAGACGCGGAACCCCAAACCCCATCTAACCCTTGTAGAATCCTCTTTCGGATCCTTAAAAATGATCCGCTGAAGTTTGCCAACGCTTAAACCCCGAAGCCCTCTACCCAGCACTCAACCCTAGAACCCTACAACCCAAAACCTTAGGCCCCTAAACCCCCAAGACCCTCAAACCCACCAAGGCCAAAAACCTAAACCCTGAGCCCCTGAATCCTAACCCCTGAACCCTAAGCCCCCAAGCCCCTAACCCCGAAACCATACTTAGCAACTGAGTTGATACACTTTACACTTCTTGGGATAATATGACCCACTATAAAACTGAAAGTGTACACTTTTTTTTTTTTTTGGGGGGGGGGGGCTTATGAATCATGAACTCAGCAACTAAGCCTAAACCCTAAACCCTAAACCCCCAAGTCCCTAAACCCCCTAAACCCGAACCCTAAACCCGGCCGAAACGCCGAGATCCGAGGCGCCAAGCAAAGATCTGGGCCACTCCGATGCCAAGCCTCCCGCGCCTCGAAGAGTAGAGCTTCAGGGGTTTACATAGGTTTATGGGGTCTAGGGGGTATAGGGTTTATTTTAGGGTTTAGGTTTTAGGGTTTTTAGGGTTTAGGGTTTGTAGGGTTGAGGTGTTAGGGTTTTAGGGATTAGGTTTTAGGGTTTAGGCTTTAGGGTTTTAGGGTTTAGGTTGCAGGGTTTTAGGGCTTAGGGTATAGGGGTTTGGGTTTACGGGTTTAGGGTCCAGGGTTTCAGGGCTTTTCGGGCTCTAGGGTGTAGGTTTTCGGGTTTGGGTTTAGTGTTTCGGGAGTTGTTTTGAGGTTTTGCATTGGCTTTAGAGACGATTTGGGCGGTTAGGGTTGAAGTTTAAATGGGTGGTTGAAGGCTTTTGTTTAGGAGGTATCCTGTTAATGTGCCCGGCCACAAGGTTCATAGACGGTTCTACGTGGCTGTGACAAGGCTCAAAGTCCCAGTACAACAAGATTTACCCTAAACCCTAAACCCTAGCCGGTTTGTACGAGGACTCTTGCAGCTCAAACCCCCGATCTGTCTGGTGTTTAGCAGGGAATGGGGGAAATGGATCCCGAAAGTAGTCCCTTTATAATCCCAAATAGTAGTCCCCATAATAATACTAAGAACCAGACAGCAATAAGGCTTTTCTGAGACACGTTGGGGCGGTTGTTGTAGAGCCCTTGCGGGAACCCGAGTTCATCCGTATTCTGAAGCCAATGCCCTGAAATGCGAGCCCGCCCTCGGTTCCTTGTTATGATATCTCTACTATAAGTCCGTTAAGGGGTAGGTGTTCTTTCGGTTTTATGGGTCCTTATGATGATATCTCTACATTATAAGTCCTTTTAAGGGGTAGGTGTTTTTCAGACCCGGGTAGAAAAGCCGCTTGCCTAGGCTGCCAAGAAGGCGAAGACGGATTCCCCTGCGCCGGCCCAGGGTTAGAATCATCCTCCCAGAGAGCCCAGTATACCCTCTACTGTAAGGGCTGTTTAGGGGCCTTCATAGATTCAGAACTCCAAAATGGTTGCTGTAAGGGGTTCGGCAATGGATCTATCATTTCAGGGCCTTGATATTTTGGTACTTAGAAGAGGGATTTGGGGCCATATGACATGATGCTATACTTGCATTCCGTAACCCTACTAATGATTCAGGGATCCGTAGTACCCCCTTAATTCGAGGAATGAATAGAGCAACATACGTTTTGAATATTAGTACATGAGGATTTAAGGAGATATCATAAAGGGTCTTGTTTACAGGGTATTGGGCTCTCTGGATGCGCAGTTGGTGAGAAAAAGCTACGCCTGCTCCTGTTGGGGCTCCAACTTTCCTTTCAGGCCTCTGCATTGGGGGTTTAGGCTGTCTGACTGCTTTGATCAGGGCGGTGTAGGGTCTACAGAGGTTTAGAGGGTGCAGGGGTGAGGTTGTAGGGTGAGGATTTCTAGTGTAAGGTGCGAAGTCAAAGGAGGCTCCAAGTAGAAGAACAAAGCAATGCGATGTACATTCCAGCCGTCGGTGAGAATGTACAAACAGTGCAGCAGTATAGCAGTTCATAAGGCTGGTTTTGGACTCGCAATTCTGGGCCTTTGTGGTGAAGGTATCCAGTGGTTTTCACCGGTTGCCTTCGTTGGCATTCCTCTACTTTGGTTTTAAGTTTTTGGGTTTAGGGTTTAGGGTGTGTGGTTTTGGTTTAGACAATTCAAATGAAACTAGGCATCCAAATAACAAAGAAACCGCCGTCTTCAACAAGACGGAGCCCTTTCTGTTTTCCAAACCTGGTGAGCCGTAAGGCAACCCTAAACCCCAAAGCCCCCCAAACCCCTAAACCCTAAACCCTAAACCCATGTCAACGCCATGAAACTTTCAACACGACAAGCGATAAAGCCGTACAGAAGCCTAAGGGCCCAAACCTTTGCTTAAGTACTCCCACTACTCTCGCAGGAGAACGCCGAATTCCAGAAGGTCGTCAAGGAGCAGCGGCTGACCCAAGACCTGCTGAAGAAGGTTCCGACGTTGGGATTTCATGAGTTGTATCATATTTTTCAGGGCTCCTATCCAGCGTTACAAGGTTGTATGGATTAGCCAGGTTGTCTTAAGGGGCTGAGGGGCCTGCTGGTTCAGTTGGGCTCTTTATGTGCAGGGTTTCGAGGTCGGATGCAGGGGTATAACCGGGTATTGGGGGTCAGGGGTAGGGCTTGGGCTATTGTTTTGACGGCTTCGAAACCTTCAGATTGACAATGGGTCGAGGATTGCCATTCAGGGTACCATTCCTGAGCATCCTAAACCCTAAGCCCTGTACAACACAGCCTGAGATGCGGGGATGCAGACTGTAGATCCGCCCGAGTCTTCCTGAGCCCATCTCCGGAGTAGTGACTCTTCCATAAATGACATAGATGAACAGCGCCTGTACAGAGGCCTGGCATTACAGTTGACGGTTGAGGGTTACAAGGGGTAGATGTTATAAGTGATCGAGGAGAGGAGATAGCGTCGTTGGGGGCCCTGTTGTATTCGAGGTTGCCTTGGGAGTTCAGGTGTCTTGGATTCGAGGCTTGGGGGTTTTTGATGATTGGGTATCCTAGCGTCAGGGAGCTTTTCGGGATGAAGACTTTGGCAGGATCCGATGCTCTTGGAACTTGGCTTGTCTACCTAATAAGTGTCTGCTAAAAGGAACACAACCCCCCACAACCCATCTATCTTACGAGCCACCCCACCCGAAAGCCTGAGCCCTGCCGTAAAGGGAGCAGGGACTACTGTTGATGGCATAAATCCTGCATTACCTTAAGGACCCTACACTATGGGAATTACGGCATATTCCTCATTATGGGTAATGCAGGATTTGCATCATCAACCGTAGGATCGAGAGTAGGGTCAAGGCTTTTGCAGGGTAGGCGCCCCCTTCGCAGGCGCTGGATAGCCTCGCAGCTTTCTACAACAAGGCCGAAAGGAGTTGGGATCCATGTAATGTAGGGGCCTTTATAATTACCTATACTGTTTTGGGCGTTCCTTTCTATAATTATAGTATAGCGGGCCCCGAAACCCTAATCTAATTAATTATTAATATTAAGGCCGCTATTTTAGGATCCATATGCAGAGCCTAGCTATTCTGACAGACTTTAGTCCGCCTCAGTTCAGGTACCCAGTTTAAACTTTTATCACGCTCGAGATCCTAGAATGACAACCAATTTTTCTATCCCGTCGCCGGATGCCTTTCAGCACTTTGGCGTAGTAGACAATGAGCCCCTTGACCGCAACCTCAAGATCTTCAATGTGTAGAGTTTAGGGTCTATAGGGCTTAGGGTTGAGATGGCTTAAAGGTACATAAGGTTTAGGGTTTCCTGTTTAGGGTTTAAGGAATCTGTTCCCGAAGGCTCACAATAGCTCGAATTTCACACATAGTAGATATGAGTCCTTGCCTCGGATGCTTCTTTACGTTTGGGGCCCCCTGTGCCGAAGTAGGAGGGACCAGAGTTTACGTGGCGGCAGCGTGTAAAGCCAGTCTTCAACTCCACATGTCAGGCCCTGACGGATTTTCAGACCTCGCAACCCAGAGGGTCCAAAGATACGACAATCATGGCATCAGGCCCACAAAGGCCTTCCTAATCATGGTTTGTGGGGACCCCATCCTGTTAGTATGTGTGTATGGGAGTTTCCGAAAATAGGAGACCCTAATATAGTACCCCAAATAGTAGGATCCTTATTTTAAGGACCCCCAAATAAGGTACCCCCTAGTTTTTGGAAACGCCCATATAGTTTTAGATCGATGGAGAGACCCTCTTGGTATCCGTGCCTACGCTAAGAAGCCTGGGCCTCGTCGCATCATATTATAAGCGATATGAAGCTCAAAGGCATTCCGGGACCGTCTAAATGCCGAGCCCTGAACAGGAGCCACCAAATATTTTTATTATTGCTATTATGATGATGATGTGATGATTATTTTTTTGATATTTATATTATTATTAAAAAGGAACATCCACATCGAAAAGCTCACCATGCCATCGGCTCTGTCTCGAGCTTACTTCAAGGGCAACTGTAGTTCGTAAAGAAGCAGAGCAGCGCAGCATAGCCCCAAGGGTCCAAAGGACCCAATAATTAGGTACTCGGTTTTAGGATAGTAGTTATGTAGGTTAGGATTTTGGAGAGTATATGATTATTAGATACTTGGACCCTTGGGGTAGGCCCTTGCAGAGGCTCTCAACCCTACGCACTCACCCTGAAGCCGCGAAGCCCAAACCACCTCGAACAAGCTCAACCTCCCTCACCCCCCTTTTTGGCTAAGCTCTATAAAGCTTAAACCCCCAAAAAGGCTAAAGCCTAAAGCCTAAACCCCTCAACCGCGCTAAACCCCAAACCCCTAAACCTAAAACTCCAAATCCTAAACCCTGCTCAAACCCTAAACCCCAAAAGGGTTATATAAACACTAAAACCCCTAGGCCTGATAACCCCAAACCCTAAACCCCCAAACCCTAAACCCCAAAATCCCTAAACCTGAAATCCTAAGCCCTAAAAACCCTAGACCTTAAACCCTGAACCCTTCGTAGTTGCAGGAGAAAAGGAGCGACAAAAAAACAGAAAACAAAAAAACAAAAAAAAAAAGAACTTGAACCCTGCAGCCACCAAAAAATCTGTGTCTACAGCAGGCTGGGGCCGAAACCGGCTCTTTCCTGCAGAAGGCCAAGGCGAATCCAGAGGCCTTTTTTGGGCCTTTTGGGAGTTGGAGGTTTAGGATTATTCAGGAAGGGTTTTGGGTTTAGAGTTTAGGCTTTGTAGGAGTTTTGGGGGATAATTTTAGAGGTTTAGGATGATCTAGGGATGGTTTAGGGTCTAGGATTTAGGCCTTGTAGGGGTTCAGAGGTTAGGATTTAGGGCGGTATTCAGTAACCTCTAAGCCTTGAACCTGAAACTGGGTTCTTCTTAAGGAGTTTGCTTCAAGTTACCATAACACGGCATTATAGTGAATAAGGTGGTTTCCTTATCATGGTAACTTAAGCTAAATCCCTCAATCCCCTAACAAGGGCCCAGTACACCCGATGAGGAGCCGGAGACCTTCCGAAGCTACCAAAAGAGCTCCAGTGCCTCGGCTTGCAGGGGCCTTTTGTACTTAGACGTATTTAGGGTCTTTAGGGTTTAGGGTCTTTAGGGGCTTTTAGTGTCTTTAGAGTCTTTAGTGTCTTTAGTGTCTTTAGGGTCTTTTAGTGTCTTTAGTGTCTTTAGTGTCTATAGTGTCTTTAGGGTCTTTTAGTGTCTTTAGGGTCTTTTAGTGTTTTTAGGGTCTTTAGGGTCTTTTAGTGTCTTTAGGGTCTTTTAGTGTTTTTAGGGTCTTTAGGGTCTTTGGGGGTCTTTAGGGTCTTTAGGGTTACTGTTGTATATGGATGTGTTTAGATGGAGTTCGCAGTGGTATCTAGTCTTTTCGTCGGGTTTGGGTTTCAGGGCATTGTCGTTTCAGTTTGGGGTTCGGTTTAGGGTTTAAGGGTTTAGGCTTCCAAGGATTACTAGGACAAAAGTTGCTAGAGGACACAGGACAGGCCAACCCACACCCCGGGTGTGCAGAGAGGATTCCTTAATTTATTGCTAAATTCACGCGCATAGAGACCTTTGCAGTTGAGACGGGAAAGCTTCAGAAGCCAAACCTCGCTAAGGCTTCCCCAACATGGAACCCCGCAACGGGGTTCAGGGTTCAGGGTTGATGTAGGTCCGATGTTAAGGCGGTCGAAAGGTTCGATTAAAATCCAGGCAGAGCATCGCATGTGGGCTTCGGGAGTTTGTTTTTTTGGTCTAGCTCCTACATGTGGCCCATATGGCTTCGGTTCCTGAGCCCTCAGCCGTGGGGCTTACGAGGTACTAGTAGAGTGTATAGAGTTTAGGGTTCAGGGTTTGGGGTTGCTCCTATACCCTCAAGCTCTGAACTGTGAACTCTGATCCAACATAGACCTCTTGCAAAGTTAACCCTTCATTTTGTTGAGCTGTTGTGACACCCTTGGCAACCGTATCGGCCCTGTTAAACTTTTGTCGAGGAGTCCCATAAAGAGCCCTAAGCTCTAAACCCTTCTGATGCAGCAGGTATAGAACCACCTTTTCCCTAAATCCTGGAACCCTAATCCCTGTGAGCCCTACATTCCCTAAGCCCTCACCCTTGAATCCTGAACTTTCCAAACTTGCCTGCACCCTAAATCCTAAACTAGCAACTTGGCTACTGTAACTCTTGTTAACCCTTTGCCAGGATGCCCAGTACTACGCTTATTCCCTTTTTGTAGTCCTAGGTTCCTTATAAAGTTACCCAATACCAAGAAGGGAGCCCCTTTTGCTCCTAGGTTACTGGGCATCCTTGGCTTTCCAAAACCCTATTCTAATTATTAAGGCCCCTATATTAGAGTACCCTTATAGATCTGTTATGCGAACTCTTGTTAACCCTATGTACACGCTGAGGCAGCAACGGCGTCATGCTGATGCTGCAGCAGCTCGTGGCTGACGCCAAGGCCACAGTGGAGTGGGAGTTGGTTTGGAAGTTTAGGGTTTTGGGTTAAGGGTAAGACCAGGAGGTTTAGGGAGCTTTTAGGCTTTACGGTTTTGGGTTTGGGGAAGTTTAGGGTGCGTTTATTTAAGGGTTTAGGGTATTTAGGGGCTTGGAGGGTTCTCTTCGGGATGTAGAATGATTACGAGAATCAGGGTCCTATAATGGTTCTAGAGTTGGATATTTAGGAAGGTTAGGCTTTGAGGTTTCTAGGCCTCTGTTCTAAAAAAGATATTTCAGGTTTCTGCAATGGGGGGGTTGTATGTGGAGTGGGGTTTTGTTTTTTGATGGGGTTCTTGCAGTCGGGGTGCAAATAGGGGGATGTGAGAAGACATGAAGCAGGGCTTTGCGAGTTTTATAGAGGCCTTCAAGAGTTCGATGGGGGAAATATGCTTTGGGGATGTGGGGCTTTAGGGGTTCATGGCTGTTTGAGGGTTTCGGACCTTCGGAATTTTGGTGCATTTTAGGGGCTTGGGCCTCAGTGTTTGTGTTTAAGTGATCATAGGTTAAGGGTGAATGATTCAGGGTGCAAGTTTGGCCTTAGAAGCAGATGAATACATAAATACATTGTAGATTAAATAAATAAATATACATAATAAAGACATATATATATATATATGTATGTATATGTGTGTACACATACACTTTTGGTTGAGGGTTTATAGGGTTGCTGGTTTCGGGTGTTGGGTTCAAGGCTTCGGGTTGGGTTAAGAGCTGGCCCCAGCGTTAGCGAATAACTCTAAGGGAGCATGGTGTATGTGAGCGTTCCCGGCTTTCTGATGAAGGTGCCAGGGTTTGGCATGGCCGATGAACATGCACGCGGCGTCGAAGGAACCAGTAGCCTTCTGGCCAAATGCGAAAGTGTTGCTTTCCTCCATGCAAAGAACGTCCACTTCGTCAGCAAAAGAACCACAGCTGCCGCCGCTCGTGCGGTTGGCGCTGGTTCAGAGGAGCCTGGAACAAGTCCGCGTGCCCACGGCGGGCGTGAAACAAAGCAAGGCGGCAGGGGCCTGCCTGAAGCAAGTTTCAGGCAAGACCTATAAGACAGCGGATCCAGGAACCCAGTGGCGCCTTATTGTCTGTGGGGTGATACTCTGCGCCTAAGGCCAGCACTCTTCGCCCTAAACTGCCCTAGACCCTAAACCCTATAGACCTAACCCTAAATACTATAAATCCCAAAGCCCCGTAAACGATAAAGCCTAAACCGTATAAAACCTAAACCTTATAACCTAAACGCGATGTGTAGGGGTTATATGCCTTCTTTTTGTCTGGCCCGGGGGCTAGATACCGGTAAAGCTCCGGAGCTTGAGTCTCAAAACCCAAGAGCCTGTTGAGCAAAGTAGCACGATATATAGGGGCCTAAATAATTACCTATACTATTTTGGGGGTAGGGGGTTCCTTATAATGCTATAATACAATATACGTAATGGGCCTCACAACCCTGTTCTAAGTACGTATTAAGGCCCCTGCATTGGTGTATGTGATTCGCCATGAGGCTGCATGCATTTATTTACAGTATTTATGTCTGCTCATTGTTGTTTTTTCTGTGTACCTGCCTATCTAATTATCTACACTTTGGTCTTCAACTACCTCTATAGCAACCCTATAGGCAGCAGTGTGTGATCACGAGGGCAAGGTCATCGACATCAAAGCTTCGCCCCTTGAAGGTTGTCGTGGTATTGTTAGGTAGGACTTTATGATCAGGACGGCCGTGATCGTACGGCGGACTTGCAATTCCCGGGCATTCCCTGGAGGAATCAGCACTTTATCCACGAAGGTTGGTGAAAGCTTGTGGCGACGTCATTTCTCAGAGTGGATATTCGCCTTTGGACGCCATTATCTTGACGGACAAGCCTACTGGGCGTATTGGTACGTGCCGGAACCCTTTTAGGTGAAAGTGTATACTACATGGTGACATGGAGCCTTAGGGTAGCTGATGCTTGAGCGACTCTTGCTAATGTGTCCGACCTTCAAAATCCCTAAAGCCCTTAATTGGAATAAACCCCTCACTCTAAATTTTCGTACGTTCAATCATAGCCCTGACCCTAAACCCTGAACCCTAAACCTGAAACCTACAACTCAATCCCTGGACAGGAGATGGAGACCGAGGCGACAGCGGCAGCACCTCGCCTGTCGTTCCTGTGAAAGTTCAAGGCAAAAGGCATGAGCATCTTCCTTGGTGTTTTAGGCTTCTGGGGTATAGGGATTTTAAGGTTTAGGGTTCTGCGGTTTAGGATTTTGGGGGTTGAGGGTGTCAGGGTAGTGCGTGGAGCTCGTCCAGCTGTGAAGAGGAAGTCAGAATTTCTTGAGGTTTCAGGCCGATGGAGAATCCATGCACCCCAGGAGTGGGCGCCGCACTGGTGCTGTCGTGTGCGCAGCCCGCTGATGAAAGTAACTACCGTAGTTTGTCCTGTTGTTCTCTGCTTCCTCGTCATGGATAACGAGCTCCGCTTAAGAAGCACGGATTTTAGCAGGGTGGTTTGATGTGGTCTTCAGGTTTCTGCTGTCCCCCGTGAATGCTCTTATCATCCAGGCTGTTCAGTGGTACACTTTTTCACTTTCAGGTTTCTGGGTTCCTATTAAAAAATAAGAAGCCTAAACTTTTTCCCAGTATAAGAAGCCTAAACTTTTTCCCAGTGGGTTACTGAACAGCCTTTCGGCATTGTTGTGGTTCACATTTTCCTCACAGCTGAAGGCACTGCAGACTGAAATTTTAGGCAGTTACATGGAAAGCCCTGAAGACCTTGAACCCTAAACCCTCCACCCTAACCCTAATCCCAAACCCCGAACTACAAAACCTAAACCCCACAGCTTGTGCCCTAAACCCTCTTTTCTCAGAGATTCAACCCTACGCCCTAAACCCCTTATCCCTAAGACCCTAAACCCTAAACCCTCATTTCTAGCTGCACGCCGTCCCACAAGAAATCAGCCTCCTCTCTATTAGTCTCCATCGTAGTTCCCTTTTGGGGTTATCTTTCAGGATCCTTGGTATAAAATTTGTGAAACCCAAAAAGGAACTAGAATGGAGACTATAGGCACTGCACCCTAAACCCTAAACCCTAAAGATCCCTTATCGGAGCCCTTATAGATCCCTTTAAAGTTTGTTAGGCCAAACAGCGGAGAATATAGGTCCTTTCCCAAAGACCTACTGTAAGGGCCTCAATAATTACCTAGACTATTCTGGGGGTTCCTGGTTATAATTATAGTATAATGGGCCCCATAACCCCATTCTAATTATTAAGGAAACCCTAAACCCTAAACCCTGAACCCTAAGCCCCTATATTACGGCCCGACCTCGGGCATTCTCAGCCAAGGAAGCCGAGTCCCAAGCGGACTACGAGGCGCGCTGATCCGAGAATCCGGGATTTGGTATAGGTTTTAGGGTTTAGGGTTTAGGGTCTAGGGTTTAGGGGGGTTATTAGGGTCAAGGGTTTTGGGGTTTATCTAGGGTAGGGTCAAGGGTTTAGGGGCTTTGGGTTTTAGGGGTTGGTATAATGCAGGAACCTGATTCGGAAGCCCCGGGCCTTTGACTCCCCAAATAGTAGGGCTCATATAAGGAACTCTAATAAAGAATCAGGTTCCTACATTAGGTTTTACGGTTTTTGGCGGTCGATTTAGGGTAGGGGGTTTAGGGTTTAGAGTTTTGGGGGCTTAGAGTTATAGGGGTTTAGGGTTCAGGAGTGTCGGAAGCTTTACCACCTCATCGCCCTAAACCCCCAACCCTGAACGCGAAACCCCAAACCCTCAACGCTAAACCTTAAGCCCTAAACCCCAAACCCTACCCACCGTTATTCGCCAGGCCTTTACCAAGGACATGACTGCCGACCTCGAGAAGAAGACCAAGACCATTGCAGACAAGGTCCCGTGGTTCGTGGTTTACCGGTGTACCTGTATGGGAGTTTCGAAAAATAGGGGACCCTAATATATGTTACCCAAAATAGTAGGATGCATATTATAAGGACCCCCAAATGAGGTACCCCTAATTTTCGGAAACTCCCATATCTAGTCATCTAGCCTCTCTACTAGGGTTTCTTGAAGGATGCTGTAGGGCTTCATGGGTTGCGGGGTTGAGGGGTTAGGGGTCTGGGTGTTTGTGTGCTTAGGGGTTTGGATTTTAGGGTATACGGGTTAGCCTTAATACCTTTTGGCTCATAGATGATCGACAGATTCATGTGTGCCGCCCTTGTCCACACGACGCGCCACAACAGGTCTTGGGGTAGAATGGGGCCACGGGTTTTGGGGGTTGGGGCTTGTGGTTTTGGGATTCCGGACTTAGTCCAGGCTTCGGGGTAGAGTCATTGAGGGTGCGGGCCTGCAGTCTGATGTTCCGGATTTACCATGCAAACAAGGACTGAGTTGCGAAGCTATGCTTCAAAATCGCATCGGTCTTGCGATTATCTCGAATCATTTTCGCAAGTCAAGTCATTGCTAGGTATCCTCAGTTTTGCCGCTGTTCATGTTACTTGCGAGTCTAGCTTGATAATCGTCATATGGGTAGTTCTATAATTAGGGTCCCGTTTTGGGTCCCCAAATAGTACGGCACCCTTATAATTCGAGGGACCCTACTTTAAAGAACTCCCCACGTGTTGTCCGGAGTTCATGGCACATCTGCCCCCACCCCCATCCTCAACCTTTCGCATACTCTAGGGCTGCGGACCCCCGAGCTTTTCATTCTTGGACATAAAGGTAACATGATACAACGTGTCACAGTGCAAGACAGTAACATATACTTTAAACCAGCCGAATAATGAGCTTACTTATATTAATGATTTTGGCGTGGGTTTGAGTGTTTGGGGCATGGGCTTGCGAGCATTGTTTCAGGGGTGAAGTCGCCCGGCTGGAGCCGTCATGGCTTTCGAAGAGGGCTTGCTGATGCTAGTAACCCAAATGGTTTAACGCAAAGCGTTATTTGGTCTCTGTAGCATAAACTTCGAAAGTTGTAAACAAGGAACCGTGCACCCCGTATGTAGCATTTTCCGAACCCTTGACATAGCCTTTGATGCCGAAATCCTAAACCCTTAGCCTAAACCCTAAAAACAGAGTCCCACACGTTTACTCTCAAAGCCGTCAAGTCTCCTGCGCATGGCTGGCCCTTGGACGCCATGGGAGGGCTGCTAAACACCAGCCGCTCAGCTCTGGTTTCCAGGCGGTCCATGCCGGGGTTCGAGGGTTTACTGGGCTTTTGTTCAGGAATTGAGTCTAAGTTGCCACAATAGGGAGCTGTAGTAACATGGTTCCCTTAGCATGGTAACTTATATCAAGTTCCTGAACAAGAAAGAAGCCAGTTGAGGGTTTAGGGCGGAGGGTTGGCGGGGGGATGTTGGAGTTGGCTGTGGGTGATTGTGATGTTGGACCCTAAACCCTAAACCTTAAACCCTAAACCCTAAACCCTAAACCGTGGCCCTTGGGGTTTAGAGCTTTCGAGTCTTGCGTTTGAAGGGCGTTTCGGGTTTTGGCCCTCAACTCAGTCTCTGAACCCTAAACCCCTATGACCCCACCTGTAGCCGAAAAGACCTACCTTTTTTAGGGTTCCTTATTATGGTTTCTATATATAGTCCCTTAAATAGGTAGGTCTTTTCGGCTACAGGCAAACCTTACACTGTCACCGTCTGCCCATCTCGTTTACACCGAGACTCGGCCGCTGCATGAGGGATTAGAGGACTTAGGGTTAACCCAAACCCCCAGAAGTAATTACTGTTGATGGTATAAATCCTGCATTACCTTAAGGACCCTACATAATGGAAATTACGGTATAGTCCTCATTATGGATAATGCAGGATTCATACCAACAGCCGTAGATAAAATCATGGCCGTTTGTAGGTGTTGGGCCATGGTGTTATCCACGTTTGGCTTTTGATCATTGGTGGTCTAAATAGGGGTTAGGGTTTCTCAGGAAGTCGGTTATGTCTGTGGTAGAAGGAGCCTTACTTGTGGCCATCCTAAACAAGCCTCGACTTTGTCATCTTCAATGCCCCCGCCGCCTGTATCCGACACCGTTTTGCTTCGACGGGAATTCTGAGTTCTGCATTATTGATGTCCGTACTGGTAAAGGGGCCCTCAACGTTAAAGGAACCCTATGGGACCCCCCCTTAGCCACCGACCCCTAATGGGTCTGAGCAACTGGTCTCTGATAGTCTCTGCAAGATTCTAGTTCGTTTTTTATTCGGAGCTAACTTGCTCACATCCTTCAGGCGCCTAGATACAGCCCCCAGGTTCTTGTCGAGAAACTGTTCAGAAGAACATGCGTTCCTCATTACACGAATCAAGTTAAATCACTTGGCAAGAGACCCTATGCATCTGTCATGATACGCCCTTCAATCACCTTAAACCCTTGCGCAACCCGCCCTCCTAAACCCTAAACAGAAACCTTAAACCATAAACTGCATGTCGTTGTGCGACCCTCTCCTCTGCCAGGTGAATGAGGGCTGCGCGGCTTCTGAACCATGGGGAGGACGACGTCTTTGCAGGGCAAAGCAGCCTTCAAACAAAAAGAAGCTAAGCCCTGCAGTCTTGTTCAAGAAGATCCCAGGTTCGAGAATGGTTTCTTAAATCCTGAAGAACTAACACCCTTCCTCAAAGCTCCCCTAAACCCCAAACCCTAAGCCCTACACCCCAAAGCCTAATACACTAAGAGAGGGACACGTGGCATCCCGGGGACCTGGGTCCTTGCACTATAGAGGCTGTGGGGTGTCGGGGTTCAGATGTTCGATGGTTTTGGGGGGCTGTCAGGGGGTTTTGGGGTTTGAGGTTCACGGGGGGACGGGGGGGGGGTACAGGAATAGTTCCCTACAAGCACTGCCCCGAACTGTGTCTGTGTGTGATGTTCAGACATCAATACCCCAGATACGTAGTGAGATCCGGTTCTGCCTTCGCAGACCGGCAAACATGGACAGCCAGTTATCTGAAACCCTGAAATGCACACTTGAAGGAACCCCCTAAGCTCGTGCTATACAGGTCTGAATAATCCGGTAATGATTACCATTCCTTGAGTTTTTCTTACACTTTCAGTAGAATCTCCTGGGAAGGACGCCGCCTTCTTCCCGGCCTTTGCACCTGGAGCTGTGAAGGGTGGGAAGCTGGCTTCCTATGCCGGTTTCCTGGAGGCGCCTTGAAGTTGGGTTTCAGGGCTTTGCGGGTTGTGGGACTGAGGTCCGACTGCGTATACATGAATTCAAAGGGTCGAGAGTTCAGGATGTAGGGGAATAGGTGCTAATCGTCATTCATGCTATCCCCTTACAGTCCCTACATAGCTAGACTAGAATTTATCCCCAACCCTTATTCATAGGTTTTGTTTTGGGGTATGATGCAGGCCTTAATAATTAGAATTGCTTAGGCCCCTATACATCACTCGAGTTCAGAATTGAAGATGGAGTGGTCAGGGTCCCAAAGATGTTAGATCAAGCGAAGTGTGCGGTAAAACACCACAGTATAAATGCCTCTAAAACTCCATGATATATATATATATATATATATATATATATATGCTTACCTGCATTCCTTTAATCTCTCTAGAACTTGAGGTATATGACATATGATATTCCGTTCCCTGATTGAGGGTTTTGGAGCCTCCGGGTTGTTTCTGCTAAGGATGGAAAGGCCTTCGAGCTCTACAAAACCTCCTTCAGCCCTATGACACTCCCAGAGACACCCAGACAATCTGAGACGTTCCACGAAATCTCGCAAAGCATCAGACAAACCCCCTAAATTCCTGGATCCTAAACCCTAAGCCCTAAACTCCTAAGCCCTACCTATTTCCAAAATCCTACCTTTTGAAGGACCTCTGTCTATAAGGAAATCATATTAAGGAACCTGAAAAAGGAAGGTTTCCTAGCTGATCTGCAGTTGGAAAGGGGCCCATAAACAACAAAACACTCCTAAATCCTAAACTCCTAAAACCCTACAGCTCCTAAACCCTCTGCCATGTCATCAAAGGGGAAAAGGAGGGACCCTAAATGGGGACCCCTACCCTATAATGGGCTATATAATCGGTCTATAACAGCTATATTAAGGGTATATACCTAAGGGTCCTTATTAAGGGTCCCTCGTTTTCCCCTTTGATGTAAGATTCCGTCCCTTAAACCCTAAACCCTAAACCCAAAACCCTAAACCCCAAACCCTAAACCCTGGAGGCCGCACCGCGGCCGCAGCGCCACGCCAGCTCCTTTGATGAGCATCCGACGTGCCCTGGGCAGAAGAATCGGGTTCCGACCAGACCCCAGAGACTCCAAGATCCCTAGGGCCCTAGGGCTCCTCTAAGGGCTCCTTTAAGGGATCTATAGGGTTTAGGGTTTAGGGGGCTCCAATACCCCTTTATTAAGGAATAGACCTTAAGTTATAATAGGATCCCTCGTATGGTTTGGGGTATGTTCCTTAAGTAAGGGATCTTGGAGTCTCTGGGCCCCGAGCCCCGTTTACTTTGCTATTCAGGAGTGCTAGAAGCAAAGGCGGCTAGACCTTTTGAGCTTCAAGCCTTCAACAATTTCTATCTCTCAGCATGCAACTTCAGCAGAGATTCCTAATCGGTGGCTTGAAGCACAGCACTACAGCTTTGAGACGTCTCGCTGCCGTGCTGGCGCAGGAAAGCTACTGCGAAGATCTTGAGTATGGCTGGCAAGGCAGGGTCGGGGAATCCCTAAGGGTCCATGGGTTACTATAAGGGTTCTATAAGGGTACTTTAAGGGTACTTTAAGGGCTACTATGTGGGTTACTATAAGGGTTACTACAAGGAATCTATGTGGGTTCGATGTACTCATATAGTATATACATTGGCCTTAATGTAGTCCCTTTGGGGCCCATGTATCTCTATATGGGTACATGGACCCTTAAACTATAGAACCCTAATGGATCCCTTATAGAACC